CTCTCCTACTTTTTCCTTGTTACCAGTCCCATGCATACTCCCTGTGCTCCAGCCACAGTGACCTTTCTGCTTGTGGGAACAGGTCAAGGCCACAGCCCTTGGGCCTCCTCACTGCTGCATCATCTGAAACACAGTCCCGTGTCAGCATGTCTGACTTCTCAGTCTATGTAACAGCAGCTTGGAAAGACCTTGTGGACCACCATTGTCTAAAGAAGCCCCTCTCAGGCATGCATTTCATAGAACAATGTGGTATTTCCTTCATATTATAGATCCTACATTGAAATTATGTCATTAATTTATTTTTTGTTTCCTTTTCTATTTTTAAAATAGAAACTCCAGGGCTATTGGAGTGGCTCAAGTGGTGGAGTTCCTGCCTCGCAAGTGTGAGGCCCTGAGTTCAAACCCAGTACTGCCCAAAATAAAAGAAACTACAAGGCTGGATGTCGTGGTTCACACCTGTAAGCCCAGCTATTTGGGAAATAGAGATTGGGAAGGTCTAGCTTTGACGCCAGCCTGGCAAAAAGTTATCAAGACCTCATCCCAATCAACAAGCCAGCTATGGGGAAGGCACTTGTAATCCCAGCTACATAGGAGGTATAGGTATGAGAATTGCAGTTCAGGCTAGCTGGGGCAAAAATGCAAGACCCTATCCAAAAAAGTAACTAAAGCAAAAAAGGGCTGGGGTCAGGGCTCAAGTGGTAGAGCATCAGCCTAGCAAGCTCTAGGCCCAGAGTTCCAATTCTAGTACCACCAAAAGCAAAAACAATAAAACAACTCCACAAGCAAGGCCTCTGTGCCTCACCTTCTAATCTTGTGCCCATATTGGCACAGGTGTTGATGATGTATACTCCAGGCCACTTTGGAAGGCAGAGATCAAGAGAAGGAGAGGAAGCTAACAAACACCTCGCCTAGGCCCCAGATCGCAGTTTATTATTGGCTCGATCCATTCGTTACTTCTGAAAATGTGCTGTAAGGAGTTCCTTATTTATCTAGAGGCCTAAATATTCCCTCCACAGGAGCACTCTGAATAGAGAAGTCCAGCCTCTCACTGCTGATTCTGTTTAACTTTTCTGGGTAACTATAATCTTATAAGTGCTCATTACATCCATCCAGGAAGGTAAACAGACCTGAAAATCAAGGCAAGTGTTCCCTGGGAGCAAACAGTTCCTAATCACAGTGATAATAAAGAGGAACTGATTGATCAACATGGAGTTTCTTATTTATTTGCATCACATTTAATATGTATTTCTCTTAATTTTCCCTTCTCATTTAAAAATTCTGGTAAGAACTGTAATTTTCTAGGATTGAACATGTTTTAATCAGCAAAAATATATGCTTCAGGCATGAATAGATTTGGAAAAATAAAGTCACACAGATGTTAATGCAGCATTAACCACTGAAGTAAATTTACATTTAAACTACCTCGAAAGGGTAGTCTTGCTGCTAACTTCAGGCAACTTCAGTGGCTTCTCCCTGAGTAGCCCTTGTGTTCACCAGTAGGCACAGAAAGAAGGGCAGTTTGGCTCTCTTTGCCTTCCTGCATAGAAATGTAAAACCTTGCTTGAATCCAGAAGGAGCCAGAAATATTTAACAAGGTGCAATGTGAGACCCAGAAGTGAACAGCAGCTTTCATGCCTGATGAGTGTGGGATCCACACTGAACGTGTGTGACTGCAGTCAGCCCTGCCAACTGCCACCCTTGTCCTTGTACCCTAAATGTGTGTGTGTGATGCTTCTGTATCTTTGCTCATGTGTTTCCTTCTGCCTGGAATTCCCCCTTGCTCCCTGAAAAGTGTCTTATCCCCTGTCAGGACCAAATCTAGCAACACATCCTCTGTGAAGTCTTCTCTTGAGCTCATGGTGCTCACCCCTTTGTATTGTGTGGTGTTTTGTTCAGTTCTTGATTAGAACATTGATTTCATTATATTGTCACCTTCCACTAATATGAGGTCTTATCTATCAATCATCTTTTTGTTCCCTTAGTGGTTTCTATTTATATCATGGAGTAGATACTTAGAAACATGTCTTAAATGAAAAGGCAGGGGATTAGGATATTTTTCCAGAATTTATTCAAAATTACTTATAAACAAAACTGGTCAACATCAAGCTCTAAATGCCAACTACCTAGTTTCAATCCTGGTTTTGCCATTTGCCAGCTGTGTGACATTGACAAAATTACTTAACTTTTCTGTGCCTTTGTTTCCTTACTTTTAAATAAGAATAGTAATCATCCACACCTCATAGGGTTGTTGAGAGTATTACGTAAAGTATCAGAACACTAACTGGCATAGCCTACTAGGTTCCAGGAACTGGAGCTACCAAGATGAGTTAGATGTGATTTCCTTTCCTAGGGAGTCTGGACAGGAAGCACCGCCTCCTGGTGGGGGGAGTCAAGGAGTGCTCCATATGGGAAGCGGCATTTTAGCTTAGATTTGAGGGATGTATGGGATGTGGTGTGTGGGATTGCTGGGAATGTGCGTTTTAGACAGATATAAGAAAAGACAAGATACATGCAGAGATGTGGCTGTGTGAAAGACAAGGGCATGTGGGAACAGCAGCTATGAAAGTAGCCTTGGCATAAATCTGAGGTGAAAGACAGATGGGACTGATGCTGAAGGATGCTGCAATCTGGCTACTCAACACTTGTGTCTACTACTTTGTTCCCTGCTTTTCCAGCCAGAGCCAGGAAATTGAAACCCAGGTTTTTCATCTGGTGAGGTCCTGTGGCAGGTGATGGGGTGTTTGGGAAAGGGCTTTTCATCTGGAATGAAAATGCACAGCCTGGCAGAGAGAAAGCTGCTTTGCCTTTTTGTTTCTTCCTGCCTGGAATTTAGGCCTGCCCTATTAAAGCAGAAGAATGAGGCCAACCACTAACGATGGTGCAAGGGGCTAATCCTGCAGGTAGGGGGTTCTTGGTGCCTTCTCAAAGCTGCACTGCCTCTGTCACCTTTCTCTGGACTTGTTTTTTGTTACAGCTATCAGATATGGCCAGGTTTCTTCTTGCTTAGGGTCAAATGCATCCCAAGAGCCCAATGCCTGGTCATAGAAGTTCCCAAATGCTCTACAGAGGACCTCTGACTTCAACATTTGAGAACTGAAAACTGTAGTATACTTTAGGGGTGAAAGAACAGCTTTGTAACCACACAAACCTTGGTTCAATTCCTACTTCAGCTAGTTTCTAGCTGTTCAGAAAACAGTTATCCTCAATCTGAGCCTTATCAATGACATTTATCTGAAACTGAATAAAATGTCTATTTTGCCCTATTTGACACTGGATGCTGGGGATGCTGAGGCAGCTTTGTATATACAAATGCAGAGATTTGTTATGTATATACTTCAGAACAGATTTGTATTTTTCTAGTAATTTATGCTTTTGGGGCTGAGATTAAGTTGTCACTTTTTTGCGTGTGGTGTTGGTGATGGAAACCAGGGCTTCAGGCATGCTAAGAAATTGCTCTGCCACTTCTTTTAGAACAACAATTCCAGTCAAAGCACTTTGGATGGAATCGACAAGGCCAAGAGCAGAGGATAGAGCTGTTGTCAGTATGCTGTCATAGCAAAATCAATTGTAAGCACAGATTCAGAAATAACTTCAAAACATCAAGTGGATTCTAATTGACACTTTTAGACCCCCTAAACATTCTGATGGTATGGATTTTGCAAATGTTTTCTAAGATTTTTATAATACTTTTATGACTAAATGTCTTAGAATGGGTTGCTTATTTTTTTCAGATACTATTAAGTTCTGTAGCATCTTGTGTTATTTTCAGGAATGCAAGCAGGAGTCCAGAAATAATGATGACAACAGCCAGGACAGGAGGAACACACGATTGAAAGTTCATTATTTCGTGTTAGCAATGTTGACAGTGTTTTAGAATCTGCTGATAACTCAAGCTAGTAGTAAGTTTAAGTGTAATTCCACTTCTTCTATGTCCACGTCCAAACTCTAACGTTACTCTCTGGGTACCATGGGAGAGGGGTAAGTAAGCTTAGGAAGGAGTGGTGTAATTTAAGACACAATGAAACAGGTCTGCTCCCAAACATTTAATTGCACTTTCTTATCTAGGGCACTTGAAAGTTCCATATCAGAGATGGTCTGTTCTGAATAATGAGCTCCTGTCTAATTCAAGTACTCTGGTGGAAGCACATCCCCTTCAATAACAGGCAAATGAGAGTAATCCACCATATTTAGGGACAACTGATCTCTCAGATTTACAAAACTGTTAACTGGTTGAATTAGGATTTGAACTTGAGTTTGTGTGACTGAAATCTGTACTTTCCCTCCTGCATTATACTGTATCTGCTCTCCTGCCCTGAACCTTCTGCCCCTCCACCTACACAGCTTGCAGGTAGGATCCTCAAGCTATAGCCTGCCTTCCAGGCAGCCTAAGAGGTTGTGAAAACTTTCTGCTTGTTTTCTAGGAGAGATGCTAGTCATTTTGAGGTCAAACCTGACACGGGACTCGCAATTCTTGGCTGGCAGAGGAGACACATTTAGAAGTACATAAAGTTATTTATCAAGCATAATAAACCCTAGCACCTTAGAAATCACCAAGATGGAATAACAACTAGCCTTCATATCTACTTGAATCAAGAAATATGCAATCCAATCAGGAATATTCTAGAGTTTATTGATTTATCTGCCCCAGGAACATGGTAATTTCAGGATCTCTGGAACTGGTCCAGAGGGTCGCTTTTAGAATTGGGCACTTTTGCTTGAGGAACACATACTTGGGAAGAACTGTGAGAAACTGGAATGCTCACATCAAATAGCTCTAAATCAAGAGAAGCTATTGAGAACAGCCACGATTGATAGTTTCCTAATCTAGAATCCTGTAAGAATTCTAGGACAACATGGCTTCTGCCCAAGACCAAGAGTGTCTGAGCCACTGGCTCAGCAGCAGAGCCTCGGGATCCGTGAGAGGAGGGAAATGCACACGGACTGGTTTGTGGCCAATCACTTCACAGTTCCTTAGGCCCTTTTAGGGCCCCAGCACTTACCTCAGCATGCCAGATGGGGTTCACAGTGTTGCCTATGATCTTGGATCTTCTCTCCTGCCCATGGTGAGGGAGGGCAGGGAAGATGCTATGCTTTCCAGGCTGAATAGAGATCTTCAGATAAGGGTCTGGGTTGAAAAACATCCCTTTCTTCAAACCCATGGCCTGGAAATCTATAAAATAAGAGATATTCTAATTTAAATATGCTTTAGTGAGGTTAAATTCTATACCAGGCCTTGTACAAGGAGAGAAATCCATTCAATGTCGAAAAATTATTTCAATTTTTAGACTGTTTTCCACCTTATTACAAATATAGATTAATGTACCTACAGAACCTACTATATGGAAAATTTACTGGCATATATTAATCTGTGTTTTGGTGAGAAACCCTTGTAATAAATCAGTTCAACTGGCACTCTGGACACTGTACTTTTAAAGAGAGGACCTTTGATCCTTACTGCACTGGATTTCTCATGCTTCTCAGACAGGTTAGGATAAAGGTGCTGGGTGAGAGGCTGAGGATCAGCTCAGGAAACATGGGAGACACAGAGGGATGAAGTATGTCTTTGGAAATTTGATGGGTCCAATGTATAAAATTTTTCTGTAAGTTAGAGACCTAAGAAAAATAAGGTCTTTAATTTCACAATAAATATAGAACTCAGAAGTAAGGAGAAAAAGACGGTTAAAAGTGCAAAGAGCATGGACTATGAAGAAAAGAAAACAGAAAACATAGCCTCCATGGAATTGGGTGCCTATCACAGAGAAGAGTTTTGAGAAATCATGCTAATAGAAAGGGCAAGATGTTGAAAATTCAACTGTTTCATTTAATTGAAGTTGTCTGAGCATGTACAACTTCATGCTATACAAAGAGAGAGACAAGTGCAGTGGGTGGGGGGATCAAGTGACAAGACTGTGATAATTTGATAACCTGAAATCACTTTATATTTATTGAAGCATATTTTTGATGTCAAGGAATATAAGTGATTCTTAAACCATAGTATAAGTTATGGGGTGTTGAAATAAACTGTCACTGCTGTAAAACTATAGATGTTTTCATGCGCATTTACATGAAAGTTATTTTGAGTTGACCGAAAGTTATCTCTACAACAAAAGTGTTTTCTTGCATTATACCATATTGCCATGAGAAGGAAAATGCCAGAAAGTACAAACATCACAGAAATTTGCAAAGCTTAGATCATCTCATAGGAACATGTGCAGAAAAAAGTTAATGTGGCTCCTTCAACTTACTTGCCTTTAAAAAGTGTTATTTGGTTGGATCTTGCCTAGTGTCCAAGAACATGAATTTCAAGAGATTTCCAGCCTCTTCAGAGCTTATGTGAGTGGCTCACTCTGCCTTAACTGGGCAAACTATGTGGTTTATCATGGACACCTACTTTCCTCTTGGCAGTCTGAGATTTGGGTATGTGCTAAGCAGAAGTAAACCACATGAACAGCAGATCATTCCCCATAAAACCAACAAATGCTGAGCCTCTAATAGGCTTCCTTAGAAGACAGCATTTCATATGTGTTGTCACAACTCATGCTGGGAAAATGAACCTCTATCTTCATTCCAATGTCTGCTGTGACTATAGTTTAAAATGTTTGGTTAAAAATTGAGATTTGTCTAGGTGTTGGTTTCTTTTCATATGTTTTTCCTTCTTTTGGGAGACAGTTCCATGGGCTGCTGCTGGATGAAATGTTCAACAGATATCTGTTAAGTCCGTTTGGTCTATAGTGTCATTTATTTCTGAAATTGATTTTTTTGTCTGTAAGACCTATCTATTGGTGAAAATAGAATATTGAAGTCACCATTATTATTATGTTTGGGTCAATCTGTGTTTGTAAGTCTGGTAGTGATGAATGAAATTGTTTGTGTCAACATTTGGTTCATATATGTTAACAATTGTTATTTCCTCCTAATGGATTATTCCCTTTATTAATATGTGGTGATCTTTTTTGCCTCTGCTGACTAATTTTGGTTTGAAGTCTGTTTTTTTTTTATCATATATGAGTATAGCTATTTCTGCCTACTTTCTAGGTCAATTTGCTTGGAAAATATTTTTCCATTCTTTTACCCTTCACCAGTGTTTGTCTTTGTCAGTGAGATGTGTGCCTTGTAGCTAGTAAAGGGTTGAGTCTTATTTTTTAATCTAACTTGCCATTCTGTGTCTTTTAATTAGAGATTTGAGACCAGTAACATTTAGTGTTATATGGGAAGGTGTGTAGCATTTCCTGTCATCATGCTGCTTTGCTTTTGATATTTGCTTCTTTCATAATCCTCATTTGCTAATCTACTCATCTAGTGTGATTTATTTTTCCTGTGTTTTCCCTGTTGCATTTACTTCCTCTTTCATGCATAGGATTCCTTTGCATATCAGCTGCAGTGCTGGTTTAAGAGTCATAAATTCTTTTAGTTTTTGTTAATATGGAAAGTTTTTATGTCTCCTTCATTTATGATGAATAACTTCACTGGATACATTAATTTAGGTTAACAGGTAAGTTCTGCCAGGGCTTGGAACATATCATTCCATGCCCTACTTGCTTTTGGAGTATCTGTTGGGAAATCTGCTGTTATTCTGATTGTTTTGCCTTTTTATGTCACTTCTGTCTTGCAGCTTTCAATATTCATTATCTATTCTGTATATTTAGTGTTTTAACTATGATATGTCTAATGGTGTTTCTTTTCTGGTCTTGCCTGTTGGCATTATAAAACATTCCTGTACCTGGATGTCCCTCTTGTTTTTCAAGATTGGGAAAGTTTTCTACTATTATTTTACAATATGTTATCTATGCCTTTAGCTTGTACCTCTACTTTATCTTGTATACCTGTGATTTTTAGGTTTGGTCTTTTGATGGTGTCCTGTTGCATTTTCTTAGGTTTTTTTGTCTTTTCTGACTGAGCTAATTGCTCCATTTTATCTTCAATCCCTGCTACTCTATTTTTAACTTATTCCATCCTAATAGTGAGGCTTTGAATAGAGTTTTATAATTTGGGTTGTTGAGCTTTTCATTTTCAAACTTTTTTTTGGTAATTTTTAAATTAGGATATATTCATTATATGGGGGATTCATAGTGACAATTCTGATTAGGCTTATTTTGTACATTAGTTACATCAATCCCATTGTCTTTACCCCTCAACCCCTTCCCCACCCCACTAAAAGCAATTCTAAGAGGTTTCTTTGTTCTATTTCATATAGGTGTATGAAGTCCATCAATCATATACCCTCACCTTAATCTCCTTTATTCACTCCCCCTCCCACTGTACCTATTTAACAGTCCTATCTTTCAGCATTAATATTTAAGTTGATGTTCAAAGGGGTTTTTCAATGTATGCCCACTGTGGGTATACTTTACTTTGGTCCATTCAGCCCCTTCTATTACTTTCCCTTACCCCTTTACCTCCCACTCCCTATTTTTCAACAGCTTTCAATACACACCCTATATCCTTTACCTTCACAGGTACTATGTTTTACAGTATTACAGATGCTCTTTCATTTTCTTTTCCTTTACCACTATCCCCAAGTTCCATAGAACAGTTCACTATTATAAACATGTTGATGGAAGCAGAGAGTAAAATGATGTAGCCATGTTCCAAAGAGTGCTGGCAGCTTCTAAAGTTGAAATGAAGCAGGAAATGAATTTCACCTGGAGTCCCCAGAAGCAACTAGCCTTGCTGACATCTTTATTTTAATTTTTCACTGTTCATTATGGATTTCTGACCTCCCAGATATAGAGGCAAATGTACTGCTTTAAGCCACTAAATTTGTGGTAATTTATTATAGTCATGATAGGAGGAAGTAAGTATATATAATTGACTTTCTAAGTTTTTATCATTGCCAGATTCAAGATCCCTTATCATCTTTTCTCATCTTAGATCTTTCACTTAATATGTCTGGGTGGTTTCCTGTATTTTAATTGAGGGTACAAGCATATGGTAAGCACTTTATTTCTCTTTTAATACATATCTGACAAGAAGAATAATTCTTTTTACTTTAAGTTTATATTCTTCAACTTCTTTCAGATCAAAGTTTCTGCTATTTCTCCATGAAAAGTTCGTTTAGTTCTGATATTTAGCTAGTTGCTATTGCTTTTGCACTCAGAACTGACCAGTGTGTAGTTGAGTTTTTGATACTTTGTAGGCTTTTCTTAGTTATAGATTGGTGCTCTATTGTCTTTCCTTGAGACATGAAATTTATTTTGGTATTTTCTTCAGTATTTACTGTTTTCATAGAAAGACATAAGGAATTAAACACGTACTTATATCCAACTACTGAAAATTATACTTCCATGACTATTCCAGGCTTGCTTCTTTAACTAACAACTTTATATCTTCAGTAACATTCCATTTCTGGGAATTGTTATCTTAGAATACATGAAAAAAAATGATACAACAAGCCAACCATTATCACTTTATCAAGTAAGTCTGTTGGGTAAAGGGAGTATTAATTCCTCTGGAAAGCATATGAGCTCATGCCTACATGGCAGAGGCAAAATGGGGACCAAGGGATAGAGACTTTGTCTCTTCCTCTATCCTGTCCAGTTACTCTGCATAGCATCCCTCCTGGGGTTCAGGACATCACTGAACTTTGTTCAGTGACAATTCCTCTTGGTTTCTGACATGTATTTGTGAGTTTTTCTTTGTTACCTTGTTTTTGAAGGTTGGGACTGAGAATTGTTATTTCTTAAGTACTTCAACAGGAATAGGAGAATGGTCAATCAGGAGTCATTGGCTTTTGTCCTGGCAATAAAAAATTATTGAGTGTCCTCTTCTCCTTTCTTTTCCCCCAATCTAAACAGACACATGTGAATGTTCTCAATGCATCTTTAGAGCTGCATTTGCTCTACTTCTACTTGAAAAGCCCCAGTTGGCTGTCTGTCTCTCAAGGAGGCTCATGTGCTTCATGTCTGTGACCTCTGATCACTGGCATTAATGGCCTGTAGCATTTGTTGCTTTGACAAGCTAAGATCACTGTTTTCAAACTGTGCTCAACTGGAGTCCTTGGGGTTCATGCTTTTGTATCCTCCTGAAAATCACTTTGGTGAAATGGGATATATGAAATCCTGAGTTTTATGTATCTCTTTAGCTACAAAAGCTCAGTGCTTCTTTTAAACTTATAATTTTGAAATATTTTTGGATTTACAGAAGAGTTCCAAAGATAATACAAAGATTTTCTATAATCCTTTTGCGTAGTTTGACCAATTGTTTCCATATTATAGAACCATACTATACCCACAAAACTAAAAAATTAACTTACTCTTAAGTATTAACTAAAATGCTATCAGCTAAATTGACAAACTTTGTTTGTGTTCCCCTGATTTTTTCCATAATGTGCTTTTTTTGAGCAGCTCCAGTTGAATCTGTTTTCACCAAGATGACTACACCAGAGGTTTTGCTTAGAGAGAGTTGGATGGCTGCTTCTCTCCCTAGGCTTCCTCCCGCCTCCCCTTTGTAAACTCTCAATTACTGTTGTTTGGCCCTGAAGGATAAACAGAGGAGTAGATTCCCTTCCCACAATCCCAAAGCATTTTCTTATTTATTGTTTACTGAATTTTCCATTATCTCCATTAATTCAAGTGGGATTGGGCAGATTTCTTTTTATTTTTGCTTTGTAGGTGGGAAAATTGAGACATAGAAAGGTTGAGTAAATTGTAATTTGTAGGTTGGAGCTGAATGGAAGCAGGCTTCTACTCTTGACTGACATTCTTATCCTCTCCACAAGGCCTCAAGCTGAACAACACATACCTGAGAGAGAAAAGCTGATCAGCCTCCGACTTCCTTGCCCTTGGACAGTTTCCTCAGAGCCAATGCTTTTAAAAATCTGCAAGAAGAAGGAAAATCGGAGACAAGCAAAACATGCATTGAAATGAATACTCTACACTCCAACACAAACTCACTTAATCACAGTTATTTCTCTAGCTATAGGCAATGAAGAGAGCAATGTTGTGATTTCATTGGACAACTATTGATTAAAATAAGCTTCTTAGCAGCCCAGTGTCTTTTCCCAGTAATGGAGAATCTGCTAGTGGGAGTGAGGGGTACTTTTTAGATAAATGGCAATCAGCAGACATAATTACTACAATGTTATAGGCCCTGCTTATAACAAACAAATGCCTCTTTGGATTCAAATTTACAAGAAGTATTCATTAAGGCAGGGTGTAAGGCAGAAGAATGATGGGTCAATAGATATTTACTGCTGTAATTAATGTTGTATCTCCACTTATTATTTAGGGATTTCCAGGAGATGATTAGGGAGGAGCTGAACATGGCATTAAGAAGCAACTATAAGGTTTCTCTTACGTAATTAACTGTCTTCCTGGGAAGTTTTAGAACATAATTGTTACATGGGTTATCTACAGTCATGTAGCTATTTGAAGGCCAGGTTGCTGTCATTTTCCATTGTTGCTCAACACATGGTAACTGATCAATCAAAACATCTCAGAGTATGTGTCTCCATTCTCTCCTAGAAAAATTTTATTCAGAAATGATTTTGAATGTATTTGTCCCAAAGCAGAATGACTTTGCCAGTTATCTTTGGATGCATTGTATGCTTGTAGAAAATAAAATTTAAAAATATGACTATTAAGCAAATTCATAGTGTCTACTTTTTAGAAAATAATCAGTGCTAAAGAAGGGAAAATTGGAACTTTCAATAATCTGTTGTTCAAAGCCCTTTTGCTTATTCATTGTGCAGATTACTCTTTCTTACTTCTCTAGTATTCTTGATGCTGTAGGAGTTGTGATTGGATGCTCCCTTAGAATTGGACGTTCCCACCAACTGCTTGGATGTCATTGGGAATTACAGCTCCAGCTCAAAGGATTATTTAGACTGCTTCCTCCTACTGAAGCAGGTGCCCTTGGTGAGCTTGTGAGCCTGGCTGCAGCTTGTGAGCAAATCTTGTTGGGCTCAAGTTGAAGTGCATATCAGGCAAGCTGAGCTGCTCAATAGAGGGAACCACTGTGAGAGACATATGAATGTGAATTGGCATCCAGTCAGAGAAGAGCTCAGCAAACTTTGACACAGAATTATGTCTTTTAGAGTTTTGTGTTAGTTAATTTTGTATAGCTGTGACCAAGTACCTAACAGAAACAACATAAAGAGGGGAAAGACTTATTCTGGTTCATGGTTTCAGAGGGCTCAGTCCATGCTTGCTTGGCCTTGGGCGCATAGACAGAACATCATGGCAGCAAGAACATATGATTGAAGGCTATTTACTTCACGGCAGACAGGAAGCAGAGAAAAAATATAGGAAGAGGCCTGAGCAAAATACAGCTCCCAAACTAGGCCCCACCTCCTACTTTTAACCACCTTCCAATAATGCTATCACATTATAAATCTATAAAGATATTACTTCATTGATTAAGCCAGAGCTTTTGGGATCTAATCACCTCCCTAAAGTCCATCAGCAGGCAACCAAGCCTCCAGTATATGAGGTTATGGGAGACATTTCATTTTCAAATGATAACAAGTTTCATTTGATAATTAAGAATCAGAGTAAGTCATAGCTGAGTGGGCACTCAGGACACTGGCTGGTTCCATAGCATAGCTTTCTTCACCTTGGAGAACCCATTTGTGTTTGCTCTTCCCATCAACTGACTGACAGAGAAATGATCAACAAACACTCAACGTTACATTCTTAGGCTGGACCACTCGTAACTGTGTGAGTAGTCAGTCACCAAGGCCTTAAAAGTTCATGTTGTAGACTTTTCTCAGTTTTCAAACTTCTGCCTGGGTAAAGGAGATGAGAGAATTGGCAGGCTGTTTATACTCCTTTCTATGGCTCCACCTGTCTAAAGTGGACAGTTACAATCAACTGTTAATGTCTCTGGTTCCTAATTCTAATTTGAAAATGTTCACACCTAGCTTGTCCCTTTCTTAGAGCATAGGTTACTTGATGGAACAACCAAAACCTATAATTTTAACAGAGCCTTCTATTATAAGTATAAAGTATGTGGGTTCCAATTTATATTTTTTAAAACATGTGGTATTAAATTGCATATCTCATGTTGGGCTAAAATGAGTTTAAACATGCAATGATAACAAAGAATAGTTATGTTTACTACTTTCTTTTAAAAGGATATATGTTTTGATTCTTTATATTTAAATATTCCTTAGGTGGTATTCAGGTTATGTACAAAGAAGGGGTTTTTGTTTGCTTAATATTTATTGCATCAAAAATGGGACAGGAATGGAATGAGGAATGGTTGGCCAATGGTTACCAAGTTAGAGTCAGATAGGAGTAAGAAGTACTGGTGTGTTATTACTCAGTAAGCGAGTATAGATAATGATTGCTGTATGTTTCAAAAAGCCAACCAAAGGATTTTTATGTTTTCATAATAAAGAAATGCTATCTGTCTGAGGAGATAGATATGTTTACCCTCATTTAAACATTACACAATGTATACATGTATTGAAATATCACATGGTATCTTATTAGTATGTACAGTTTTTATGTGTACAGTTTTTATGTATCAGTTACAACTAAATTTAATTTAAACTAAGAGAACAGGTCTGTAGAAAGAAAAGTACTATATTTTTCAGAAGCTACTAAGCTAAGAGGGGAAACAGTACTTTAAACACCATAAAATTCTGCATAAATCCTTGGCTTTTCACTAATTAACAAAGTCATCTAAGCTCTAAATTGATAAGATGAAAATGGAGGTAGCAGTAACCATGATAAACATTTTCTAGGAAATAAAACTGGTCGCTCAGTCTTAGGTTTGACACCCTGAATTCTTATTTGACATGAGTTGCAGAGGCATGTTTGAGGTTGAGAAATTTGTTGCAAGCAGATAGACTGTATGGTTTGTTGACTGTGAAAATGACACAAAGACTCAGTTAAAATAGTTTCACTCTGGAAGAACTTGAGGCTGGAGGCACATCAGAAAGATTGCTTGTCTCAGTTCTGACACATTCCCTTTGCTCTGTGGCTTGTCTAATGTGTGATTGTTATTCTAGCTTGTGGGTGCTGAGTTGTGTTGCTCCTTTGTCTTAAACATAGTTCTGGCAGTTCCACTGTCTGCATTTTGGACGCATATGTTTCTACAACAAAGTCTCTCTGGAAAATGACTTCACAGATTCCAAACCCAGTCTGCTGGTAATGTGTAGAAAATTCCTTATGGTATTGGCAAGGATCTTGGAGTTGAATTAAAAGTTTTGGGGTTAATTCACATATATCTTTCCCACTCCCATTCTTATGTTTTCTTTTTTAAAAGTTTTAAGTATGAATTCCTACCTCACTGTTACACCCCCTAAAACACCATTCAGTAAAACAGTGATGATCAGATTTTTTCACCCTTGGGGAAGATTTCTGTTTCAGAAGTCAAAAAGATGTTTAGCTCAGTTGATGAGGCTCCCTCTGCCTTTGATCTCTGCCATGTCTCAAATTCTGCCTTTCCTTTACACAGTATCACTGCATGAAAGGATGTTTCTAAAAATAGTAAACAGTGTCTAATCATAAAGTCATACATGTCTGTTGGCCTATTTCTCTACGTCCAACCTACCAAGACCTCTTAGATGGGCATTCTCATTCCCAGAGGTTAGCCAGTATACTTAGGATTCCCTATAATAAAGCATTAATTCCATTCAAAATTTGGGGTAAATCTTTTTATTAAAAACATAAATCAATATAAAGTTGAATGTAGAGTATGTATGCATTTTATAGGAAATTTCAAATACCTATCTGAACTCCTTCCTCAAACGGCCCAGCCCTTGATTTTCTTCCCTCAGAGAAAAGCTGAAGCTGCTCCTGCAGTGCACATGCCTTTCTCTCCTTCTTTTGATTAATTTGGCTAAGGATTTGTTGCTTTTTCTCATCTTTTCAAAGAGACAATGCTTTACTTCATTGATTCTTTTTATAATTCTTCTAGTCCCTATATCATTAACTTCTGCCCTGATCTTTATTATTCCTTTCTATTTCTTTTAGGTTTGTCTCATTGTGTTTTTCTTTTTCTAAGTGCTTGAGGTACAACCTTAGGTTATTTATTTTTTTAAATGTGGGCACTTAAAGCTATAAGCTTCCTCCTAGCACTGCCTTTGCTGTGTGTCTCAAAGTTTCTGGTAAGTTGTGCTTTTGTTTTCATTTGATTCTAGGAGTTTTTTTAAATCCTTTCCCCATTTCTTTGATGACCCACTGATCATTCAAAAGAGAAAGACATAGGAAAACAATCTTATTCTCAGTAGGCTCAAAATACATAGGAATAACCCTAAGTAGGTGAAAGACTTCTATAATGAAAACTATAAAACTTTGAAGAAAGAAATTGAAGACATAACTGAAAGCAATCTACAAATTCAATGCAATTCCCATAAAAATTCCAATGTATTTTTTCACACAAATGGAAAAATCAATGCTAAAAATCATATGGAAGTACAAAAGACCCAGAATAGCCAAAGCAATTCTATGCAAAAGAAGTAACACTGGAGGGATCACCATATCTGACTTCAAATTATACTACAGAGACAAAGTAACAAAACAGTATGGTATCAGTACAAAAACATAGAATAGATGATCCAGAAATAACCCCATACATCCACAGCCATCTAATTTTCAACAAAGGTGACAAAAACCCACCTTAATTAAAAGACAGGCAGCAGATGGTGTTAGAAAAACTGGATATTCATAAGTAGAAGATGAAAACTAGATCCCTATCTCTTGCTCTGTACAAAAATAAATTCAAAATGGATCAAGTTGTTAATGTAAAACCTGAAACTTTGAAACTACTAGAGGAAAACATGAAAAAATTCTTGAAGATACAGGCATAGGTAATGATTTTTCTGAGTAGGACACTAGTAGCTAACAAAATAATAAGAATTGACAAACG